ACTCAGGTCAAGGCTCATGATTCATCGTTTTTAGCCCTGTATCTGGCTTTGCGCTGACATCACTTGGAGCATCCCCTCCCCCCATTCACACTCACATGTGAGCTTTCTCTCTCTCTCTCAAAATAAATAAATAAACTTAAAAAATTTTCTTTTCAACTCACAGGTTGTCATATTGGCAAAAATAAACAAAACTCAACTATATGCTGCCTACAATAAATGCACTTTAAATATAAAGACAGAAATAAATTAAAAATAATAGGATGGAAAAAATCTGTTAACACTATTCAAAAGAAAAAAAAAGAGTGCTTGTATTAATAACAAAATAGATATTAGAGCAAAGATCATTCCCAATGATAAAGAAGGACATTTCATAATGACAAAAGAGATAATTCGATAGGAAGATATAGCCATCCTAAATGTTTATACACTCAATTAACAGAGCTTGAAAATATATGAAACAAAGACTGACAGAACTGTAAGAAGAAACAGAAAAATCCTCACCATAGTCAAAGATGTCAATATTTCTCTGTCTCTCAATAATTGACAAGACAAGTAGACAGAAATTTAGTAAGGAAACAGAAGACTGAACAACACTATCTGCCAAATCAACCTGATCAACATTTAGGGAACACTCCACCCAAAATATATACATTCTTTTCAATTTTACACAGAAGGTTTACCAAGATAGACCATTTTTCTATTTATAAAAAAGTCTCAAAAATGTTTTAAAAGAATCTGTTCATACACATTATACTCTTTGACTACAATGAAATTGAATTAGAATCAACAGAAAGGCCTCAAAAATATACCCAAGTATTTGGAAAATAATTAAAATACTTTAAATAACCTATAAGTCAAGGAACTCAAAGGGAAAATTAGAAAGTATTTTGAACTGATTGAAACTGAAAATACAGCATTTTAAAATTTGTAGCATGTGGCTAAACCAGTATGAAGGGGAAAATGTATAGTGTTAAGTGCCTACATTAGAAAAAGAGAGAGTTCTCGGGGCGCTGGGTGGCGCAGTCGGTTAAGCGTCCGACTTTAGCCAGGTCACGATCTCGCGGTCCGTGAGTTCGAGCCCCGCGTCAGGCTCTGGGCTGATGGCTCAGAGCCTGGAGCCTGTTTCCGATTCTGTGTCTCCCTCTCTCTCTCTGCCCCTCCCCCGTTCATGCTCTGTCTCTCTCTGTCCCAAAAATAAATAAAAAACGTTGAAAAAAAAATTTAAAAAAAGAAAAAGAGAGAGTTCTCAAATTAATGACCTCAGGTTCCATCTTAGGCAACTAGTAAAATCATAGCAAATGGAATCCAAAGTAAACAAAAGAGAGTAAACAATAAAGATCAAAGGGGAAATCAATTAAATAAAAAACAAAAACAACATAGGGGTGCCTGGATGGCTCTGTTGGGTGAGCGTCTGACTTTGGCTCAGGTCATTTCATGGTCTGTGAGTTCGAGCTCTGCATTGGGCCCTGCACTGATGGTGCGGAGCCTGCCTGGGATTCTCTCTCTGCCCCTCCCCCACTTCCTCTCTCTCTTTCTCCCTCTCTCTCTTTCTTAAAATAAATAAATTAAAAAAAAAACAATAGAAAAACATCAGTGAAACCAAAATCTTGTTGAGAAAAGCAACAAAACTGATAAATTCTCACTCATATTGATCAAGAAGCAAAACAGAAGACACAATCAATATCAGAAATGAGAGAGGTGACATTACTACAGATTCTATAGAATAAAAGGCTAACAAGGCAATACAGTTGCCTTGAACAACCTGGGTTGATATTGTGCAGGTTCACTTATATGTGGATTTTTTTTTCAATAAATATAATATAGTACTGTATTTTCTCTTACTTATTTTCTTAGTAACATTTTCTTTTCACTAGCTCAATTTATCATAAGAATACAGCATATAATACATATAACATACAAAATATGTGCTAATTGAATGTTTTTTGTCTTATTATTTTAGAGAGGGATCAAGGAAGTGGGGGAGAGAGGCAGAGGGAGAGAGAATCTCAAGTAGGCTCCATGCTCAGTGCAGAGTCTGACATGGGGTCTCAGTTTCACTACCATAAGATCATGACCTGAGCCAAAATCAAGAGCCAGATGCTCAACCAACTGAGCCACCCAGGCACCCCTGCTAATTGAATATGTTATCGGTAAGGCTTCCAATCAACAATGGGCTATTAGTAGTCAAGTTTGGGGGGAGTCAGACATTACACATGGATATTCAACTGCCAAAGAGGATGGAAGGCAAAAGGATGACAGAAGGGACTTGTTCTTCCTCTTACCTTGCTTTTCCTGCCTGCATCACTCTGGCATCAACCCCTTATCTTGTGTTATGGATTAAATTGTGTCTCTGCCCCACAATGATATTATAGTCCTAACCCCTAGTACCTATGAATGTGAACTTATTTGAAAATCAAGTCTTTGTAGATGATCAAGTTAAGAGGAGGTGGACTTTAACCCAAGGACTGGTGTCTTTATACACAAAGAGGAAATATGGACACATAGACAGATATGGACATAGGGATATGATATGAAGATATAAAGGGAAGTCAATTTACAAACCAAGGAAAAGAACCCCTAAGCCTACCAGAACTAGGAGAAAGGCACAGAACAGATTCTCTCATATCCCTCAGAAGGAACCAAGCCTGCTGGCGCTTTGATTTCAGACATGCATTCTCTACAACTGTGAGGGAATCACCTCTCTATTGTTTTAAACTACCTAGTTTGTGGTACTTCATTATGGCCATTTTAGAAACAAATATACCCTATCAGTGGCAGGTGGTTCCAGTCTCTAGCTTCCTTCCAGCTCTGCCATAATCTATTTCATTCCACCACCCTGGGGAGTACCTGCAAGTGCTGGGCTGCAGCCCTGTCTCCGTGAGGCCATCAGGGCTCAGTCAGCTTCTGGGTTCTGTTAACCCCCATTCTTCCTTTGTTCCTCAGTCCATAAGGATGGGAGCAGCTCCTTGCAGTTACTGTTTTACTTTGGTGTTCCTTTTGTTTTTTCAGTTTCCTGACACTCATTTAACACATGCCTTATACTTAATTCACGCTGTGGATATAGGAAATAGCTAGCACAGTTTCTTCACTTCTGGTAAGAACCCTGAGTTCATCATTCATTCAGAGTAAAAGCCAAAGGTGGAAACCTAGCTTATAAAATTCTATGCAATCTGTGCCCTGCCCCTGGCTACTTCTCGGCCTGCTTTTCTCATCATTTCCTTGGTCACAGCCACACTGATGTCTTTACAAATCCTTAAACGTACTAAGCATGCTTGCTTCATGGCCTTTGACTTGCTGTTCCCTATGCTTGTGGATATCTGCATGCATGTGGCTCCCTACTTCAAGTCTCTGCCCATACCTCTGGAGGCATCTTTCTTAACAATGTGTACAAAATTATTTCTCTCAACCCCTGCCTTCTCTTTCCCCGTAACCCCCTTCCTCTATAGCAAGCATCCCCTTCTGGTGAATGTCATATCCATGTTATCTACTGCCTTCCCTAGTAGACTGCAGGATCCATGAGAGAATCATTGTTCACTGCTGTGTCCCCAGTGCCCAGAGCAGAGTCTGGCACACAGCAAGTGCCAACTTTTGAAAGGACGACTGAGTAACTGTAGAAAAATACTCATCAGCAGACCTACCCTTGTGTCAGTGTGCTTGACCTGTAACGAATCTTTAATTTTTAAAAGATGCGTGATTATTCTTTGGCTTTGTTGGCTGCCCTTCCTCTGTGGAACTGTACTTATAATAACATCTCTTGAAAGTCTTTAATGATAGTGCACTTTAAGTTGCATGTTCCCTTTTGTCTAACAATTTAGATTTTTTATAATGCAAATATTTTCTCCATTTTCCAACCTTTAAAAGTATTAATTTGAGGCGCACCTGGGTGGCTCTGATGGTTAAGTGTCCAACTCTTGATCTTGGCTCAGGTCATGATCTCACTGTTTGTGAGATCAAGCCCTCCATCGGGCTCTGCGCTGACAGTGCAGAGCCTACTTGGGATTCTCTCTCTTCTTCTCTTGGCCCCTCTACTGCATGCTTTCTCTTTTTCTCAAAATAAGTAAAATAAAAAAAAAGTATTAAGTTGAATAAGACTGGTCAGCCAGCAGAATTTCTGAAGAGACTGGCCACTGTATGAGACAGGTGTATGACATTGTAGGAGTAGGATGATTAAAGAGTATGAAATGCATGACACTGTACGATGAGACTCCTTCCTGGGATGGCCCAACAAGAAGGAAATGCAATTCCTACCCTCATAGAGCTCAAAGTCTCATGGATATTTAACTCCCATGAAGAAAAAAAATCTCAACAGTTATCACCAATGCACAAATGAAAACAAAGAAAACATAACACGTAAGTGCTGGTTAGATAAGATGCAACAGGCTGAAGGGTCATTCAAACTACAATAATCCCTCGATGTTGAGTAAAAATCCAGGATTTAAAGAAAGAGACAAAGACAAATGAGGATTAGGTACCTGCAAAAGGAAATGACACATACATGAATATAACTTCATTAGTTTCCTAGAGTTTATAAACTACACTATAAATTTAACCTCTCTCCTTTCTTAGTTACCTCTTCATTCTGTGCCTCTGCTTAAATGTCTCCTATTCTATTCTGAATTCACATGTTTCTAAACTTCAAATGTTTTTAAACTTTAAATGGTAGTTTCTAAACTTTAAATAAACTCTTTCCAACTCACCTCACAGGTCTCAACTGAAATGTCATTTTCACAGAGAGACTTTTCAGTGACTCAGTCTGAACTAAGTGTGCCTTGTTATTCTCCATCATAGCATGTCTCTCACACCCCTTACCACAATTTATAATTGTGGGTTAATTTATGACCTTATCATTTATCCTCCTTGCTAGATAATAAACTACTTAGAAACAGGGTCATTACTGCACGTATATTGCACAGCCCAGTGGCTGGTACTCAGTATATACTTGTTGAAATGTAATAGTGCATATGTTTCTGCAAAGGCTAGAAATCCATACGTAAAACTGATTCCAATATCCAAAATAGTTTTATTTTCAGCATTTACTAAGTTTAAGTTGTGCTAATTTCTGATACATAGAACCATGTAACCACATAACTATATATACATACATATATAAATACATACAAACATAATTCATATCCACAGTAATATTTTGAACTTTATCCATGAAATTAACTTCAATTTTGGTCAAATATTTCATCTTTTACAATAAACCTAATCTGTTCACAAGAATCTTCCATCCATCCTTCGTACAGGGTATGACCTGCATGTAGGTGGCAATCTTAGAGGGAGCTGCTCAAGAAAGGTGTGATAGGGCCACCCTAGTGCAGCTTTACTCCTTGCTCACAAAGACTTATTTGATTAGTCTGGCTGAGTTTGGTCAGATAGGGGGTCCCTTCTTCTTCAAACGACTGCTGTTGATTTAGCTGAAGAGGGAGAGCTCCTTGATGGAAGATCATTTTCATGTGCAAGTGTGCACAGAGCTGCGTCACATCCAAGTGGACTTTCAAGGCTCAATCTTAAGAAATAACCCAATGTCGATTCTTGACTCCTAAAAATTATGCTGTCAAGTTGGCTACAGGTGAACTATGCAACTTCCCTCTGCGGAAGAAAAAAAAAAGTATCAGAAGTGACTTTACTTGTATAAAACTGCTTAGTGACTATACCAGTGACACTGAGAATAAATAAGCTGAGTTATATCATCAGTGACCCGATTTATTGACTCGTCATGACTAACAATACATGGGATCAATTCTAGCTCCCATGTAACAAGAAAGAAAATGTGTGTCTCATTTCAGTAATCTTTTATAAACTATTTCTTAAAACATAGGGTCACAGATTATAACAGCCACATAATTTTTTTTTTACCAAAATTAATTTACCTTTTATGTGTCCTTAGTCTTGAAGTACAAACCATAAGGAAGGCCTGTTCCAAAACTACTAAGATGAATTCATCACTTGGAGTCGGAGCTCAAGCCACTGAAATATAATTTTAAAAGGTTTTTGTTTTGTTTTGTTTTGTTTTGGAAATAGAACATAAAACTGGTTATTTGGGAATAAAGGATTGGATAGTGGAAACCAACCTAGATTGGGTCCCTAAATCCTGTTTTTTTAAGCTACCTAGTTAGATGAGATTGTAAAATGATGATTTAATCTTGATGGAATGTCTGTTTTCTCCTGTTTATTAAATGAGAGTTTAAAGTCTTAAGTCCTTATAGTTCTATGATTTATTTTATATTAAAAGTCCTTGATGTAGGAAGCATGTCAGATAAAGCAGTCTGTGGGATCAGAAGTAGCATTTATGATCACACATAGAAAGAACTCATGTACATACAACAGGCCCTGGGAGAAATGTTAAGGATACCATCCCAGATCTACACTGAGCTCAGTACCGGACCAAATATCGCAGCAGATTTTTTTCAGGTATTTGAAGCGGTCACCTCTCCAGGGAGAAAAACCTACCTCCACTAGTAAATCCAGGTCCAGAAACTGAAAGGGGCAGAAGCCCTATCTGGCCACTGAGGTCACTGTAACAGCAATTAGCTTAATCCCCTGTCCACTCCCACCATCGTCGACTTTCACATTAGTTTGGCGAAGCTTATGTACTAGAAGTGAAGCAAATCCAAATATGGGGAACATTCTTCCATTGCCCAAATGGGAAAACTGCTTTATCTCTTCTTCAAAATCCCATCAAGTCTGCCTCCCTCTTACTCCAATGGGCACAAGGCACATTTTGTGTGCAACCCTGCATCGGCTCACCCTCACGCCAAATTGCGGGCATCGCGTAAGCGTCAGGTCACCACTCTTGATAAGGTACAGATCTTTTTCGAAACACTTGTACACAGACTTCGACTAGCTGGGGGAAAGGTTATTATCTAGGTACATCGGGTTCATAGGGCATCCCGCTTCGGGACTCCCGCAAACCTGCTACGAATTCTTCCTCCAGAACTAATGCTTCGGTAGCCTCTGTATTTACACCACCCGGGAAATCTCCCCAGGATTTTTTTTTTTTTTTTTTTTTTTTCATTTAAAATGAACGCTGATTCTGCGGCAAACTTCCTCTGTCCTCCACCTGAGGAGGGGTGCGCTCCGGCGTTCCGGGAAGGTGCGGACGGGGTCCACCTGGGTTCCAGGGCACAGGTCGGACCTCGGAGGGGCGTCCGGGCCCTGCCCGCAGGACTGGGGGCCCCGACACCCCACCGCATGCATGCAGACGCGCTTGTGTCACCTCAGCAGGGCGCGGCACCTTAAGCAAGGATGGATACTTCTTCTCGAACAGTCTTCGGACCGCCTTAACCTACTCGGCGGCTCGCAGGATCTGGGTTGTACCCCGGCCTCTAAATCAGACCCCAAGGAAGATCTTTATCGACTTGAGCTTCGCGTTGCAAGTCACCGGCGAGCAGGGGGAGGCCGTGCGGCCAGGAGAGGGAAAGGGACGAAAAGCTCCCTCCCGCCAACTCCAGCCCACTCGGTTCATTCCGCCCCCACTCCCCGGCCTAGTTTGGGGGGGGGGGGGCTAGAAGGCGCCCCTTTTTTACTCACTTGCTCTCGGAGCCTCGGCCGGGCCGCCTTTAGCCAGGGGTAGTGCGGAGGGGCTCTGGGGAAGAGAGGGGAACCAGCGGGCCATCTCCGCGCGCCCGCGGGCCGGGGCCAGGGACGCCCCCAGCCGGGCGCCCTGGCGAGGCGGGCGCGCTCCGTCCCGCGCCTTCGAGGCTGGCTCCGAGGGCTCCGCCAGGCCCTCCCCCTCCGTCCGCCGCCGCGGCCTGTGGCCCCTCCCCGCCGCAGCCGCGAGGCCGTCGGGCCCGGGGGACGCGCTCGCGCCGGGGCCGCCCCCTCCCCTCCACCCCCACCTCGGCCCGGGCGGGGGCGCGCGAGGAGCGGTGACGTCAAGGGGCGCGCGGTGGCAGCACCTCCCCGCGCGCTAGTTAAAAAGAAGAAGAAAAGAGGGAGCGAAACATGAGAGGCTGTGTGAGAAGCTGCAGCCGCCGGCAGAGGAGACCTCAGCATCATCTAGAGCCCAGCGCTGGCCCTGCCTGCGTCTGCCCCGCCGCCGCCGCCGCCGCCTTTTCTGTTCCTGCTACTGTCTCACCTAAACAACTCCCGTTACACGGACAAGTGAACCTCTGTGGCCGTCTTCTCCTCCTCTTCTTCCTCCTCCTCTTCCAACTCTTTCTCCTCCTCCCACTTCCCAGCCGCAGCAGGAAGCCCCTAACCCAACTGACCCTGGCACAACTGCAAACGGTGTCATCTGCACAACCCTGTCTCGGTCCTCGGACTCCCCTAAGGCACTGGACCCATCGCCTTGTCTTTCATTTTTCGCAAAGTTGCATCGCTCTACATATTTCCGCCCCCGGCACCACTCTCTGCCTCTCGAGTGTCCCCCGCAGCCTCCTCCTGGAGCTGCGCCCTAGTGCCCCTGGTGGGCAGTGGCGTTCCCCCCCCAGCCTCCCGCGCCGAGCCCCTGCCGCTCGGGGCAGACGATGCTGAAGATGCTCTCCTTTAAGCTGCTGCTCCTGGCCGTGGCTCTGGGCTTCTTTGAAGGAGATGCTAAGTTTGGGGAAAGAATCGAAGGGAGCGGAGCGCGGAGGAGAAGGTGCCTGAATGGGAACCCCCCGAAGCGCCTGAAAAGGAGAGATAGGCGGATGATGTCCCAGCTGGAGCTGCTGAGTGGGGGAGAGATGCTGTGCGGTGGCTTCTACCCTCGGCTGTCCTGCTGTCTGCGGAGTGACAGCCCAGGGTTGGGGCGCCTGGATAACAAGGTAAGCACGCACCCGCCTCACAGATGCGAGAGTGACATGCTGGCTAGGTGGGGGCTCCCTGGGGCTCCAGGACTGCTAGTGGCCGTGAGAAGGGAGAAAACTTGTTTGGAGAGCTCTGTCTGATAACTTTGTCTGAAGTGCTAGCGTGATTCGGTGGTGCGTTCTTCTGGGGTGCGCAGATAGCTCTCCCGCCCCCACGAGTCCGTGGTCGGGATGCTGTGCACAACTGCCTGTGTCAGAAAAGAGAAGCTCCTGTGGTACCCGCATTCTGGGCTGGGTAAATATTTTAAAAGAATCGCGATTAACAGTGTGTTTTGGGTCGAATCGGGCATTGGCTGCGGTGAAACTGTAAATTAAGGTGGCTGTGGTTTCCGGTTTATTTTTCTAGGGTAACAAGATTTGTGCAGTTTTCTCCACGTGCTCGGTGAGGGAGAGGATTGAATCGTAAAGGATGTTGAAGCATGGTTGGTTTATGATCCCCAGCCCCGTCAGAGGGGGGTTGTCTTGCATTACAATAGTTAAGCTGCGAAAAGGAACTCCTGGTACTCCAGTTGAGAACCCGAAAAGCTGGCCAGAGATTTTGCTGGGGCGTATTTGTCACCTAAAACCGAGACCGTTCTCCGCCCCAGTTTGTAATGTTTTGAAACATTGTAAATTCAGGCTTTCAAATGGCAGTTAGTTGCCCAGGAAGATCTTCTCTAGAAACTTGTTTTAGGACTAATGGCATTTACACTTCCCTTGTGTTCTTGAGTTTAAACGAATATGAGATAGTGTCGATTGAGTGTGAAGGCAAACTTATTTTTTTGAGTTTCCAACATCTTTCTTGTCATGGGACGCAGCAACGTGGGCTATCTACTGTACTGCAAAAGGAAAGGGGGGATCCCGTCATTAACAATCACTGCACGTGAAATAAACAATCAGGTGTCTTCGCTCCCCCTCCCGTTCCCCATTTTAGGTTTAATTAAGAATTCCTCTGTTACAACACTGCAGTTGTCAAGGTCTGAGAGACTCTTGGAAAACTTGTGCTTCAGTCTTGCTGGCCCAGGCATTAAAAAAAAAAAAAAAAAAATACCCAGGCTGAATCTAATTTTTATGCTCAGTTCACGGTAGATTTCACTCTATTCTCATGTAAACAGCTCCTACGAATCAACATATGTGTCTGGGTGGTATCTCTCACTTTGTTTTGTAACAAAAAGCCATATTGCATCATTTAATTTGCTCAAGTCATGCAAATAGGAAAAAATCAATAGGACAAAAAGGGGTCGACTTATCCTCCTCCCCACTAAACTGCTGCCCACACACAGAGTCCTGTTGCTTATGGCAAAAGAATAACAACAACACCATTGTGTTTGTTAGTTGGTTCACTAATGGGTGAAACTAGAGAACATCATTCTCTTTCAGTCCCCAGCTCTGTCCAAATGTTCATGCCTTTTGAGGGAGCATTTGTCCAACTCCCTCTATTCCCAGATGAGTGAGAACTGTCTTGCTGCAGGTTTTCAGCTGCAACTCTCTCTTTATTCTTACCATATGCAGCAGTAGTCTGCGATTCAGGGAACAGATATTCCAGCATTTTATTCAAAACAATGTCATTAAGCTCCTGTGTGGTAATTGAATTAAATCAGAAAAGCTACATTCACATCATCTGCAGGGTTTTACCAGGAGCTTCAGAGAAAGGTTTAGAAATATCTGCCATTAAGTCTCCCTGTGTGCAATGTACACTATGACTACACCAGTGATCTCCAGACCCCTGCAATGCTGAACTCTACCAGGAACATGAGGAATGAAAACTTTAACTGAATAGAGTGGGGAGTTGGAGGGGCGGGGGCGGAACTGAGGGGAGTTATAGCCCTTAAGAGGAGTTATATAAAAAAAATTTTTTTTAAGAAATCATTCTTTAGGAAGAAATCTGCCACGTTAGCTATCCACATTCCTTTCCGTTTTACGTGCTTCCAATCTCCAACAAACCCCTACTCATTTGAAAAATGTGTCCGAATTAAATTCGGTACACTAGACTTTGCTAGTTTCATTACAAGTGCTTTATAAACCAACAATACTCAAATTGTTCAAAACAGAGAAGTGATATAGCTATGCATGTGCATTCTTGACCTATGTTAGCTCTCAAGTTTTAATAGTTTTTAAAACATGTTATTTTATAATAAACTTCAGTGTTTCCTTGTTTTCCCCTAAGCCTTCCTGGCTTATAATATATGTTAGGGTCTTATTTCATAACGTGTGTACAGGAGAGATGATGGCTGTTTGAAAGGGCCCGTTTTTGCTTATGGAAAAAAAAAAATCTCCAGAAAGATTTCTGCAACTTTTCAAGAAACTACAGGCACATCTTTCTCCTATAGGAAGAAACTTCATAGACAGTAGCAAAATAGGTAGGAATATTTGAGCATGCTCAGCTGTGCAGTTAAATCCAGACTCCAAACTAACACGTTTTCTTTAATGTAATGAACTGGCATTGAGTTCAATTCTTTAATGTAATGAACTGGCATTGAGTTCAATTCTTCATAATGGTATTATGCTTTTATGTTTTAATTTTTTGTACATTTTAATAATTTTGTGTATCGTAACAAGATTGTTAACTGCCATTATAAACAAATACTGCCAAAATTTAGGAAGTTCTATTGTCTTGGCAATATTTTTGCAGTTCCTAAATACAACATGCTAAAAGGACCTCATTCCCATTAGCCAAATTGAATCCGCAGCCAACTGAAATACCCCCATTTCTAAAACTTGTAGCCACAGAGGCATAGAAGCTCTCTCTACCTTGGGTGGTTTCACAGCCAAAGCTGTCAAGGAATGGGTGAAAAGTAATTGTTTTCAAGTGTGCCCTTTTACAATCATTTGTTTGCTCTGGCTCTTTCAGGGACAAAGGCTATTGTTGAACACATCCAACTAAACAAATAACTCATCCTGGGGTCCCTTTAACAGCTGCCTGAGTACAATGATCTATTTACATATTAGCCTAAAATTGAAACTGAACTCTTTAATGACATAATCCAGCACTATAGTGCCGAGACGCATGTGTTCCACCCAACAGCTGAACAGCCTTGTAGGCATATGATTTTTAGAAATAACTTTTTGTGTACCCACTGATCTTAAGGCGACATCTTAATATGCTGTCGTGTATTTTCTCCTGTTGTCTGCTCATCAAAACCACGTGGGTGCCTTTTTATCCTCTTTGTTTAGTTACTTGATAAATAAAGAGAAATACAGAAGGTCTCTGTCACCCATTTTACTATTTGTTGATAAGCTATAGTTCTGGGCCACACTTCACTGTGTACTACGGTGTTCATCTTACCTTTCTTCCGTGGATTTTACTTTCTTGTGGCCAAAGATTAAAGGATGACCTTCCAGATGTTATAAATTAGTCAGCAACAGCCACGGTCATTACTAGGCATGCTGTAATAATGTCTCGAAGTTTTACATGACTTTCAAAGTATATTTAGTTTAAACCACTATAATTTGATGGTTTCATATATGGCTTTTAAAAATCGAAACAGGAAATTAGCTTAAATTTCTTCTTCAGATGGATGACATTGTCAGGCATAAAGTTAAGGACCTATATAGACACAAGCACATAGGCAAAAAAGAAGAAAAAAATACCCTACACACACCAGTACTCATCTGTCTAAAACAGTGTTGCAGCTTGGGCTGAGTCAGTTTAATTGACTTCAGTAAGACTATTGGTTCATTGAAACCAAAGCCAGAATGATGGCTCTATCTATCTTCAAATAGGTATTTACACTGCAGACCTCACACAGAGCAAAATGTTACCATCCTGCTGGGCCGGAACAGCGTGAAACTTTACAAAGAATAATATTATACTCGATTTCAGATAATTTATTGAATCCTATTTCTGAAACTTTTGATGAGAGATCTTGTGGCCAGGACACATTCCAAAAATTGTAAAAGACAAAATTCTTTAGGCACTAAAATCAGGCTCTTCCTGGATAGCAGCTGGGAGAGTACATGGGGATCAGTTTCTTTCAGCTATAAAAAATGGAAGTATGCATATTCTCCATAAAACTAAAGGTAATTACATTCCAGTTTTCCAGCCAGCAAAAAAGGTGGCTTCAGCATCCTGCAGTTGTTTTGTTCTTAGGGGACTGCTGTACGATAAACAAACAGAACAAAGTTGAACAGTATTAATATTGAATAGATCTGGTGAGGTCTGCCAGAGTATGGACAATAAAAGACATTTAAAACATTCTTGGAATGCAAATTCTAAGTGTCTGGCATATGTTTCCTTTTAGAAAATTTAACCATTTAAGCAATTGTCATTTAAATAAATTGATAAAAGTCAACGTGTAAATATAACTGTGATTAATAATAACTCTTCTGAATGTTATAGGTAGTGACAACACAGTGTGTGTGTATCTGTATCTATATCTATATCTATATATAGGTACATGTATATATATATGGTAACTTCTATAGAGCTTTTAATTACTGCATGCTAAAATTTCAGCATGCTTGTATTCAGCGATTTTTTTTTTTTTTTAGCTGCTTTGTTCTTTCAGGTCCAAATTTTGTTATCACCTAGAATATCTTTATCTTAAAAAATAGAAGCCATGCCATTTACTCAAATTAGAACCTCAACTCACGAATGAAGTATTTGCTTTGAACAATGATTTAGAGTTTCAAATGTTATTTTCAGTTCCTAGTTCTAAATAGTTAAGTATAAATTTAGTTATATAAACTGAGAAAAGGTATAAAATTCATTCCCATTATTGTGTTTTTTATTATGAAAAATCAATGAATGATTTAGACAGCACTACATTTTACGTCTCAAATATTGTGCTGGTATTGTCTTCTATATTTATTAGAGGAACTCCTGAAGTCAGTTTTTTAAAGTTAGTACTGGACACCAAGACCTATTTTATCTACAAATTACTAACTTCAGTGAATCAGTAACTCCCAAATTGGTCTTATTGAAAAAAAAAGACATAATACTGTATAAATAAAGATAAAAGTATTCTTTTTTTTTATTAAAACTCACTCAATCCTATACAAAAGCACTTTTATTAAACTCCTGTGTTTATTCACACATATAACATACCTGAGGAGCTGGTTAGAAAGTTTTTCCTGGCTAAGATAAAATGAATAATAAAAATTGGTCTGAAACCAGTTTCAGCTTCAGATATTATTTTTCTACAACATGAAAAGGCAATATTCCCCCCACTTTAGGAAACTTTCCCGATGCAACCTGTAGATTGAAAATGAACTGAAACTAGAAAAATGTAATTAAAGTAGTATCTTTGAGAATATCCTATCACGAATTTCAAGAGTGAAATACATTTTTACCTAAGACAGAAATGATCAAATCTTAAAAAATTCTACTTTACATACAGTTGGATAAAGGTATTTAGAATTTTAAAGTCAAATATCACTATGCACTATGCAAATATCGCTATGCACTCTGATGCAGAGTAACATGGTAAAGGGTTAAAGGGTCTCAATATAGGTGTCATTTAATTTTTCATACCCAAAAGATAAACAGGCTTTGATCTGCAAGAGTAAGAAGGACTTTTGTGCATCCTTACCCTCCGCTCCCCCAGCCCAGCCCAAGAGACTGTACTTCTAGCCTTATTAAAAGCATCCCGTGTTTCTGATATGATAATTCTTTTCAGACAACTGCACTGGCTAAGTTATACTATTCTACTTATATGATTACAAAAAACATAACTAGACATAGCTTCACATGAATAAAAGGAAGTTTGTTTCTGATTTATGGCTTTCAGATATTTTCTGTTACCAACAACACAGAATGTGGGAAGTTACTGGAGGAAATCAAGTGTGCACTTTGCTCTCCACATTCTCAGAGCCTGTTCAACTCACCTGAAAGAGAAGCCTTGGAAAGAGACCTTGTACTTCCCCTGCTCTGCAAAGACTATTGCAAAGAATTCTTTTATACTTGCCGAGGCCATATTCCAGGTAAAAAAAAAAAAAAAAAAAATTGATAAATTAAATAAACTACTGCAGCATATCCTCACAAGATATCTGATCTTAAATGTTTGCTTCTGAGAGTGTAAAATTTATTTCACCTTCCAAAATACCTACTTTTGCCTCACAATTAACCTTTACAAATTTGTAACCTTTCATTGCTGGTAAAAGGATTACTATCATTTCAGTCTGCACACAGTATGTTGGTTTTGATGGGATGTTTTACAGTTCTTGTTAAATCAACACTACAGTTGGTAATCTACACACATTGGATTATCAGTACAAGTTTCTTGTTGGTGTCTTCTTCATCCATTAGCATCCATATCAAGACAGCCTCCTCTTCTACATAGCTGATATGCAAGTGCAGATTGTCCATGGACTTTTAAGGTAGTATTCCCTTAATTAAAGTATCACTAGAAATCCAAGAAAAGTAACACCTTACAAAGCACCTTTACATGTAATGACTAATTTGCTCTTCAAAAACTCTATGCTGCAGGTAGGAAAAGTGGAGTCATCCCCATTTGACAGATGACGATAACTGAGCCTGAGGAGAAGTTAAATGCCTTAACCAAAGTTGTGCAGTGAGGAAGTGATAGAATAGATTAAGAAGTTCTTAGGTTGACAGTGTCACGAATATACCTGCTCACTACCATATTTTGGACCCTAATAAACATATAGATTCTTGGACATGGATTAATTTTACCATCAAAAGTTTATAAACTTTGGTTGTTACTGCTTTAGTTGGAAGAATCAACAGAGATACAAAAGAATTTAACGACACAGATTCTGTTTAGTTAAGCAAAGTCACACACAAACAAATCTACTGAAGCTAACAGTTTATAAAACTAAATGGCATTGAAGGAAAAGACAAGCTTTAAGAACTGTAGGATGCCCTTGGAGAACTTTTTAACTGCTATGCATATTTTACATTTTTCTCTGACCCAGAAAAGTGTGGATTTTTTTTATAGAGCTCTTGCAATAACCTAAGAAAACATTTTGACTAGGATTGCTTGCTTCCTTTGGTGTACCATAACATGTATCTAAACCCATTCATGTGAAAATATTATTATTGTCTTTATAAACCACAACCATGTTTGTAAGGCTTTTCCTAAACCAGCTGTTTCTTCCTCTTTATCACGTTCCCCAAAAGCAAAGTAGAATAGGTCACGGTTGCATAGAAGGCCTGCCGAGAAGCGATAACAGATTAGGTACCATAAAGGTTTGCTGCAAATTTCAAGTCTTGAAGGTTTGCCTTTACCAATGTAAGTTGAAAAGAACACCGACACTTCCCATTTTCCTCTACCATTATCTACTGGAGATAAATACAACTATGCTGTATTTAAAGACTCACCCAGAAAGTCTCCATCTATGTGAAGTTATTTTAGCTTCCAAAACAAACAACAAAAAGCAATATCCACAGAAGAAAGAGTGTAGCAAACAGCTCAGGAGCCAGAACTGCAAGCACCTCGCTCCCCAGATCAACATATGTGGTGACGAGTGACAAATTTATTTTTCTACAAAGTTTGTATATATGTAAAACTGCTGAAGTGCATCAAGATGTCAAGTGCTTTTGGTGGCCACCCAGGCTGCCTTGAAAGATAACCAGATGAAAGCTCTACTCCAGTGGTAGAGAGAGCAGCAAGGGTGCTTCCCAGGGACAGGCTACAGGCTTTAGCAACAAGCAGGGGGGGCTTCTCCTGCCTCCGTCAAATGATAATAATCATCCTGAATACTTGTCGCAAAAGTGAGTTATAATAACACATTCTTTGTGTTAATTTATGTTAATCAATTTGTTAGCCAGACTGATCCTTGGCACACAGTTGACCATTTTCTGAAGTATGATAGATAGAGAAGATGGTAATCCTCCCCTCAGCCCTTGCCCCAACACAGAAGGCTCTTTACAATTCTAGAACAATTATCTTTCAGAAATTGCTCTCAAAGCAAATTTTTAATATTTTCACCTTCTCAAGTTTATTTAATGACATGGTGTAACTTTTCTCTGGAGTTCAAAGTTGCAAAAAACAGCTACTTTGTGATTCTTTCTTATAAGAAGTCGATATATTTGACTATTCTAATGAACAGCCTCATCTTTCTGCAAATCAGAAACTTAAAAATGCAACACTAAGGCAAATGCTCAAAGGGGTTGAGAGAGAGGAAAAATAATTTGAGATGTCTTCATTTCCCTCCATTGCCCAGAACGTAAAGAAATAAATACATAAATGATCTACCCCTTTGCTTCACCTTCATGACTTTCAGAAAGCACCACCAGTCACATGGGAATACAGGTACATCTGACAGAAACTCTTTAGAAACTTTAATTCAGAAACATTCATGGTGTGCCTATTTTCAAGAAAACGAGAAAAGTTAAAAATTAATATAGTGAGGATATACTAGTGTTTTATTAATCATAATATTCACCAGTTGTGAGTTGACTTAGGGAAGTAAATTCTTAAAACTTCTAAAAATAACAAAATTGCATTTGGAAAAAAAAAAACCCGCACACAGGAGCTTCTTGCTCAGCATCACAGGTCTTTTCTCCTGCTGCACTGTGATGAGCAGAGTAGATGCTTTCCTGTTCACTCAGTGATGGCATAGTGCACTCTGTGGGAAGTGTACAAAAGGACAGACATGGGCCTTGCTTCTTCCTTTACAGTTGTTATCACAAGTATCATGAAATACTTTTTATCACTCAGACTGTCATCTCTTCAGCTGTAGGTGATTTAGTGTGAAATGTCAGTATACAATTAGTTCGATTGGTTTAATTCTGTTGCTAATGAGGCCAAGGTCAAGGGTTTGATTCCACTGAGTCTCTCTAGTCCATAGCCACTCCTGACCCCAGGGAGATATCTTATACTTGTGTCTTCCCCACGAGAGCAAGCCAGACGGAATGGATGGATACATCAAAATCCACTACCTCTATTAGAAAATGCTGGCAAGTGCAGGCCTTACTAACAATGGGTTTTGTTTCGTTTCTTTCTTTATTTGATGAACAGCATATATAAGGAGGAAAAGTAACTTTTCTCTGGCATACATTCTGAGAGAAAAGCTAGAGCTTAGAATACTCCACAGAGAATATTTGTTTACATGAGCATGTTATGGGGTGCTTTGTGGTATAGTAGGACTGGATTCATCCCGCTCCAGGACATTTGATAAATTATCAGGAGTTTAAAAAAAATACAGCTGCTGGAATAATCTGTGTACTTCCATCATTAGCAGACTTGATGATACTGTGATGATACAGGCTGAACTAAACACCCACCTTCAGTAAAATGCTCTTCAGGGTATTGTTCCAAATAAAAGGGTACTATTTGGTAAATTCTATCTTCCCTGGCAGTAAATGTAAGCCCAGTGTCCTGAAGCCACGTCCTTTTAGCTCTTCACAGCAAAATATATCTTATTCATCACTGTCCACAAAATCAGATCATTGTAAAGTATTAATGAAAATGTTAGATGTGTGTAATTATGAGAAAATACCCATATCTTTATGTAAAAGTCTTTTGAGTTGACTCCCTCCTTCACACTTGTTCAGTATACTGAGATTCTATAAAAAGCTAGGAATAATTCATTGTTAATCCCAGTTTTGTTTTTGTTCTCCTTTTGATTTGGTAAGAGAACATAGTACCTCTGGAGCCATAGAGTTTATGAATCTGTACTTAATTAATCTTTAGATGTTCTATTTGAAAACGATTTCTCACTTCCGCATGTTTGTCCCCAGCTAATAACTCCTTGTAAAATGGAATCAGCCATCAGCATTGTTTAATTTCTCCTTAAGATGGTATTGGTTTGCAGACTATGATGCTGGAATACAGGTTTTTTTTTAAAGCAAATTTGAAATTTCTTCTCAGTTACACTTTGAATTTTTTTTTTTTTTTTTTTTTTTTTTTTTTTTGGTGATCCTGCAGGCAACCATCATGTTGAAACAAATTTTCTCATTTTCACATTCAGTTATAAGTATATACATAGTATGACAGTATTCCTGTGTGCATAATATTGGCATGGAGATCTTGCTGCCTGATGGGAGCTGTGTGTGTGTGTGTTTGTGTGTGTGTGTGTTTGTGTGTGTATGTATCTGTGTGTATGTGTGTGTGTATGTGTGTGAGTGTGTGTGTGTGTAGGTATGTGTGTGTGTGTGTGTATCCAAAAAACGATCTAGCCCAAAACTGCAAAAGGTTTAATTTAACAACTCCATTCTCCTTCTATTCTTTTCACCTCAGATATGATCGTTCAACACTACTGGGCAGTTTTCATGTATATTCTTAGCCAGAAAAGAATGGAGGAGAAAGTTATCTTTTGTAAGCAGTTACTTGCTGAAGAAGAGTAAATGCTGTGCAGCCTTCATTCCTCTCCCCAATTTCTAATCCCTGAATTTTTTCAAAGAAAGATAACCTCCTTGCAGCTGCCTTGCCCCTCGTGTGGAGCACCCCTCCCAGCTACTATGCCTACTTTCAGTCTCACCCCCCATACCCCCATACACACACACACGCACACACACACACATATACACACACAACTCCCAAGGACATCTGCTCTCACTTGCCTGGTTTCCAAGGATAAGATGCTTCTTAGTAGCCTAGTCAGATATTGGCCTTGAAGAGTCTGTCTCAGAAATTTAGAGGTGATACATTTTACTCAAAAGTTAGGTGAAAACGTACACCAAGATCCTCAGAATTATAAGATTAGTTTTAGGTTTGAGAGGACCTAGGTCAAGGGCATAGAAAATAAACTTTTAGTCTTTCATGTTTCATTGGTAAGTCTCACTTGGTTAAGAATTGGTCCCCAATTCTTGTTTTTAGAAATCCTTACAAACCTGGACCCATTAACCACTTCTAAATATCAGCTCAGTTATAAGGTGCCTTTATCACAAAGCTGATAGGTATACAGTAATCTAATTTGTTAGGTAAAAAATCAAAACATTATGCATAAAGATATGACACCAGAAGCAAGAAGTTAGGACATCATATGAGGTCGATTCTGGTAGCCATATCATATTCTGAGAGCAGAAATCATCAGGATATGGAAGTGAATCTTATTAGTATGCCCTCCACCACAAAAAAAGCCAATACTTGATGACTCAAATTGTGAGAGTAATGTCAAAATTCTTTTTTGTCATCAAGTCCTCTTCTTTTTTTAGTCAAGTATAGCTGTTTTTATTTGATAAAAAATTCTTAATATGTAAGAAAAGAGAAAACAGCTTTCTTTCAGACTTCCTTAAGTAAGTCTATTTTGCATTTTTGTTTTGGCTTGTTATCCTTGTTTGTTTGTTTGTTTGTTTTTCAGTGAGGGGTGGTATACCAGCTTTCTGATTGAGAAGATTGAAGGGATATATTAAGTATAGTTTTGTTTTACAAAATAACCATTATTTTATATAAAGTGAGGTGTAGGAAAAAGGCACCTACATATTTGAAAATGGAGACTCTGTTCTTAGCACAATTACTGTCAGCCAGTCACTTATAGCATCTAATGACCTTGTGATATTCATTAGATTTATTATTTAATCATATGTGAGCGACAGTACAAAAAAAAAATTTGTAAAATGACCAAAATCAGCACCTAATAGCCTATCTCTTCTTTCATTCTAATTTGTTCTTCTTAATAAGTTATTTTTGCTCTGGGGGAAAATGCTGAATAGTGATCAGATAAACGTACAACATACATACCATAGAATCTTGCAAACAGTCAATAACAATAACAAGATTAATGCTGGATTTGTATTATGTGTATTTCAGATGAGTCTTTTAAAATAGCCAATGCAATATTACTCCATTTTAATTGAAATTCTTAAATTTTTTTTGAAAAAAATAGAAATCCCAAGCAAAAAAAAAAAATTAGTTTTCATTTTTTTATTATTTTCCTAGAATATTCATATACTTTCTAAAAAATCTCTTACTCTATTTTATCTTTCATATAGGATGTTTTTACTGTGACACTAAATATTTCTAATGAGTCTTTTTTGCATTTCTTTAAAGGTTTCCTTCAAACTACTGCTGATGAGTTTTGCTTTTACTATGCAAGAAAAGATGGTGGGTTGTGCTTTCCAGATTTTCCAAGAAAACAAATCAGAGGACCAGCATCTAACTACTTGGACCAGATGGAAGAATATGACAAAGTGGAAGAGATCAGCAGGTTCATAAAGATAAATGCTCTTTAATTTTAAAAAAACAAAACCAAAATACCAACTGACAAATCTTGCGGTTTTATTAGTGAATCAACTGTTTCTGTGCTTGATTCCAGCAGCTATATCCTCCAGATGCTTTTTTCTTTCTTTTGGATAGTTTGCTTCTCTAATATCATGTTCCCTTAAAAGTGTTTAATGCTTAGACTACTAATCTTTTATTATCATGAGTTTGGCTTCTCTATGATTCCTGTGAATTTCATGATTACAGTTTTAAACTTGAACTTTATGCTTATTGTTAGCTTATGGAAATATTCAGCACAATTATCATTAGCAAATCAGAGTTTTATAAATAGATCTTAAAACCTTCTCTCTGAGGGCCTTTCTGTAAGGCTTAATTATTGTGAGTAAAGCTCATTTTAATTATAGTCACTCAAAGATAAGATAATGAGCTTCTGCAATTTTAAAAGATGTAGCATTTTTATGTTGATTCTCTCTTGGACTTTCTGGTAGAAGGCTGTTTTATGTGTTCCACTGAAAGCAATTTAAAAGAGTCCTGTTGTGACTTTTGGGGTTAACGGCACCTCCTGATTCTCAAAACCATTGATTCCTAGAGGAAGTACCTTTTGAAAAGGATGTTAAGTGCATCCTTTGCCTCCTTCACCTCAAGAAAAGCTTACTGGTTTTCTTTAACTTGTTTAGGAAGCACAAACACAACTGCTTCTGTATCCAGGAGGTGGTGAATGGGCTGCGCCAGCCTGTCGGTGCCCTGCACAGCGGGGACGGCTCGCACCGGCTCTTCATTCTGGAAAAAGAAGGTTACGTGAAGATACTTACCCCCGAAGGAGAAATTTTCAAGGAGCCTTATTTGGACATTCACAAACTTGTTCAAAGTGGAATAAAGGTTGGCTTTTTAAATTTTATTTATCTTTGCTCTGGCTATGTTAATTTTATTTTAGTGTTATCATTCTCACCGGAGGTATTTGTAATAAAAGAAAGAATATTTAAGGAGAAAATAAGGAGACAACATAAGGGAACAAGAATTATGGCAACTGAATTGGGACAGTGGCATTAAATGTCTAATGTTATTTGGTGACTATTAAGCAGTGCAATGAGATTGATATCTTGACATGCTTTCCCTATGTAATTTACACATTTAAACTAAGTCTTGGTTTTATATAGTATGTGTTTAAATGTTGTTTGACAGGCATAATGCGTAGAATTGTGTATCAGCATTTGCTAGTAGAAACAAAGAGGTCTTTTGGTTATTTGGGCAACAGCAAACCATTCTTTTCCCGCATCTGTTTGTGAGTCTGTGTCATAAAAAAATGCTACTTATACTGTGCCTTCCTTGTACAATGTTTTTGCAGGTAAGTCAAATGTTTTAATCTATAATTAGCCGTCTTTATATTACATATGCACATATTGCCTTCTTTCTCACTTCTCCGATTGAATTCTCATGTTAAATAATCTAGCGGCATATAAATAAAATTATTGTCAAGTTTGTTTTACAAGAGTGTGACATGCTATAATATTGGCAGTATAAGCTGTAAAGCAAATTGTGGCATTTTAAAACTGAGGCACATTCAACAGCTCATGACTAAGTTAGGTTGAAACAAACTAACAGTATGATTTGGGAAGAACTGGTTATCTTTGTCATGCCTTACCTGGGGAAAGAAATCAAAGGAGGATTTATACTCTTCTACTCATAGAGAAATAAACTCCCCCTTGCTTTGTTGAGCTCTATTCAAAGGTAAGAACATCAAAACCAGAAGAAACAGTCGGGGAAAAATATAGGTATATTTCTCACACCAATTCATTACCTACCATTTAAAATCATTAGAACGATTCCATTAGAATATAGGGATTGCCACATCATTGACACCACCCCGCTTCAAGAGTGTGTTGTCAGTGTCACTAAGACATCCTGCATACGAGAAGTACCTTATGGTACTTTTGGTCCTTTAAGGAAAAGTACTTCAGCACCAACACACAGATCATATGGAAAACCTGTTTAGCTCAGTAGTTTCAACTTTCTTCCAGTAAAAGTTTTCATTAGACTTCACAGCAGATCATCAAAAGTCTCTTAAAATGAAGCATTTGTGTTTTGCACATAAGACTTCAATAAATACTTTTTGGAATGTGTTCTGATAATTCACTGCCAGTGGTACCTAAAAGAACAAAGAATTAAGATACGGCAGCAAATACATTACTCACTAGCAGTGTATTTTTCTTACTGTGAAAGTTATACTCTCTATGAAAGAAAAAAATTGGGACTGCATTTTAAAAATCATCACCTATCATCTCATCAGGTAAAGAATATCACTACTTACATTTTGATATACCTCCAACTTTTATATTAAAATTAGATGAACTTATCCTGACTACAAAGGTAGCACAGGTCCATATTAATAAATGTGGAAACACACAAAAATATGTTTCCTTGCAGCTTTTTCCCTAAGCAGCTTTAAAATAAATTTGAAATCAAACCATATATACACCTTTTTAACCTTCTTTTTTTGACATAACAATATGTCATGAGTATATTACCAAATTTGAAAACTTTTCTCAAAAACCTAGTTTGTATCTCCTCCGGGTATTCCATTTCCTAATTATGAAGTGTTTCCTTTTTATCATTGTAAATAATGTGCTTTATCATTCTTGTATGTATTATTTAACCTGCTCATGAATGACTTCCTTAACGTCCATTCACAGAGCGTTACTGAGATGGGGACATAGATCATTACACATCTTGCCAATGGCTGTAGGATATGTTTTCAAGTATTTGAACGAATAACATATAGGGGCACCTGTCGGTTAAGTGTCCAACTTTGGCTCAGATCATGATCTCAGCTCAAGCCCCGTATTGTCTCTGAGCTGCCAGTGCAGAACCCACTTCAGATCCTCTGTCTCCCTCTCTCTCTCAAAAATAAATAAACATTTTTTTTAAAAAAGAATAACATACAGCTTTTATGTATTATTTGAATAACAATGTTGGTATTAAAAAGATAATGAATGGTAAAATGTAGGTGTTAGAAATGAGCTCAATTTTGTTGTAAGAAGTAAAGAACTGATATTCTTGTTTCTACTTTAACTACCTAAAGAATGACTGCCTCTTAATTAGGGTTCCTTCGGAATGCCTCCGTTTCAGTTTGTGCCCATTCGTTGGTGTAATGAATGAAAGTTTATCTTCTCTGACTTTGAGACATTTTATCATGCAATAAAATTGTATTAGCCAGGTTATGACAGTGCTATGGTTCTGTGCTATCTATGTTCTGCAGGCCTCTGGAAATTCTGCAGAAGCCCTTGTGTCTTCTTTCTTATGATAGTTCCAGGGCTTTTAGGGCTTAAATATAAACTTCAAAATCCATTATTCTGCATTTGTAGAGTATATGACATGACATGTTTTAAAGTGCAATATTTGAATTCCCTTGAAGTTTGGCACTAGTGATGTCAATAAGATAGGAATCTATCACATGGATTTTTGAGTGTGTACTGGGTAGTGAGTAATGATACCACAGCCTTGTTCCCTCAGGTAGGTGATCTGTCCTTTATCTTAGGCTCCATGAAACTTCCATCTCGAGTCATGAGTTGGAAGTATTAGGAGAGGCTGTCGTTGGTATGATGGGGCAGATGCCAACACATTCATGAATTGGTCACACCACTGATTTTTGTGATATGCCCTGAGAGACTTCTGGAGTAAAAACATTTTCAAACTATTTCACAGTAGTTTTTTTAGGCTTCTTGATGTATGAATAGTGTGTTCATGACAGTATTCTGTGTCAACAATCATTTTGTATAGATGACACAAATAGAAGTCTCAAAAATTATTATGTATATCACTTCTCTGTTCTTTCCGTTTTAAAATTCTAAGAGAGGACATAAAGCTGTTTTAACTAAGGTATTGATTGGAATACTCCGTTCACAGAAATTAGTAATGTATACTAACCCCAACCTTCGTATGTTTGAAATGAAAACAAGACAAACCACAATGAAGATCCCTCCATGACAGTAATTGATGACCAGTCTGAGTATATTAAATCAAACATAAAGAGGAATTCCTGATTATAAGAGTTTCTAAAAGCTAGGGCTTGCTAGAGGGGAATCTGGAATTCCTTTTCTGTTAATGGTCAAGTAAAAATCGACAGGGGTTTCTATCACCTGGTAATGGACTGACCTTTTTGTGGCAAGGAGTTGGACTGGGTTGATATCCTCAAAGCTTTACCAGCTCTGATTCTTAAAACTACTTCACAGAAGTGCCATCCACATAGCCAACCATCTAGGGAACTTAGTCAACTCTTCCCTAAACGGTCCTGTCTGAAGCTAAAAATATGTTGTCTTATTTTTAAAAACCCAAATTGTGCTGCCTATATTGCAGGAGATTTCAGTACACACAATTGTCTGTCTCACCAAAGTTAGATGCAAAACTGCAAAACACAAGCTAAAGACTTCTTTTTGCTATAGGAAATAAATTGTGGAGTTGGATTAATGGAATAAATTCTATGCCGTATAAATTTAAACTGTCATTTTATTTGAGAAAAGACAATTCTATTCACAACTCAAATCCTAGAAGACTGGGGTTTGTGACGTTGCCAAATAAAGAGTGAGTCAGAAAAATGTTTTAATTTTTTTTTAACGTTTATTTATTTTTGAGAGAGAGAGAGAGAGACAGAGACAGAGCACAAGTGGGGGAGGGGCAGAGAGAGAGGGAGACACAGAACCCGAAGCAGGTTCCAGGTTTTGAGCTGTCAGTACAGAGCTCGACCCGGGGCTTGAACTCACAGACCACAAGATCATGACCTGAGCTGAAGACAGACACTTAACCAACTAAGCCACCCAGGTGCCCCAGAAAAATGTTTTAAAAGTATGTAGTGATTTGATCGAGTTTTGATTATAGTGCACTGTAGAAGCTAACTACTAATACTGATACTGAAGAATGACCCAAGTGTTCAGCTGGTGAGCAGTCTTTAAAATCATCATTTGTGGATGTATATATGTGTGCACATGCATTGTTTGTTGTTGTTTTATCCCAAAGGGAGAAATTAAAAAATTATACTCTCTATCTCCCCAGGTAAAAATTTCTTTAAGATACTGGTAGTGTGAGGGGCACCTGGGTGGCTCAGTGTGTTAAACATCTGACTTCGGCTCAGGTCATGATCACCTGGTTCATGGGTTCCAGCCCCACATTGGGCTCTGTGCTGACAGCTCAGAGTCTGGAGCCTGCTTCAGATTCTGTGCGTCCCTCTCTCTCTGCCCTCCCTTGCTTATGCTCAGTCTCTGTCTCAGTCTCTCTCTCTCTCTCTCTCTCTTAAAAATAAACATTTAAAAGTAAGAGATACTGGTACTGTGAAATCTTTAAATTGAGCTTCTGTCTGAATTCTGAATCAGATCTTCTGGCAAATGCCAGAACCAACTTCATCTATCTGAAATCTTTGGAAATGACAAACCTGTGCTTCTCAAGAATGGATGCACAGTAGGGGCGCCTGGGTGGCTCAGTCGGTTAAGCCTCTGACTTTAGCTCGGGTCATGATGTCACGGTTTGTGAGTTCGAGCCCCGTGTTGGGCTCTGTGCTGACAGCTCCGAGCCTGGAGCCTGCTTCAGATTCTGTGTCTCCTTCTCTCTCTGCCCCTCCCCCACTTGTACTCTGTCTCTGTGTCTCTCTGTCTCTCAAAAATACATAAATGTAAAAAAAAATTAAAAAATAAAAGAATGGATGCACAGTATAATTGCCTGAGAGAGCTTTCAAAATTGCTGCTGCCCAAATTAAATCCCCCACTGTCTGGGATTGGGACTGAGGCATGGGTATGTTTTTAAAGCTTTCCCAAGTGATTTCAATGTGTAGCCAATTTGAGAGCCACTGATCTAGACTGAACCAAACCCCTGGGTCAGTTACATGTTGAATG